GTTAGATTACGCTCCCGTTACCCCTACCATGAGTTTTAACATATTGTAGTCGTGCAGGCATTTCTTTGGATTTTTAAAGTGCGACTCACATAACTATAGAAGGCTGACTTATCTAAAATAAAGTAATAGACAGTTATTAACATTTTTTTTTTTTGAGAAATCAACGTCCTTTCCTTCTTTCGACAGAGAAAAAGGGTTGCATCTTTCCTTTTAACTATCAAAGACTGTTGACTAACGTTAACCATTAGACTCTGATCTTTATGTATTTTTGTTTTCTTCCAATACAGGGGTTCTTGAAGTCTTTCCAATATTTTCCCTATTTTTCATTTCGAATTTCAACTAAGTTATTTAGATGTGCTGAACTTAATGGCAAGCACTTACGGAGGCAAGGGCGCTGAGGGTGGCCATGCCCCCCGAAACAATAATTTTTTTTTTTGTTGAAAATTGAATATGTACTATGGATATAGGGTTCTTACTATAAACCCAAAGCTTTACTCTCATTTACTTTTAAACCTATATAATTCTCAATGTTCTCATACTTGCCTTTGAACCCAAAGTGAATATGCTAGTGTATAACAACATGCTATAGTGTGTATAGCAACATATTATAAGGTGTATAATTAGGTGTATAGTATTAGTATACTACATAGGGCGTATAACAACATAATATATGCTAGCTCATTCCCAATTAACACAAGCATATACGATGATCATATTTCTATAGGGTGCTGTGGGTATGCATTTTGGTAAAAAATATTAAGATCTCCTAATCTACATGATTACCACCTGTAAATTATTTTGATTTTGATTTATCTTTATCATAAGTTATATTGTAAGCTAAAATAGCACGGGCTTCTATTTTTCATTTTATGTATTTTTTTCGCATTTCAAGTAGAATAGGGAAAGTGCGTTCTAATTATTATTTAGTTTTGCATTTAATAGTAAAATTGTGAAATGAGGTTTCTCTTTAATATATTTTGTACTTTGTTGTGGTAAAATTGTCGAATGACTTTCCTCCAACTTGATGAAGTTTTACAATAAGTAGTATGTGAAATGAGATTTCTATATTTTATAAATGATTTTCTATGTTCATGTAGTGCTGCAATTATTTTGCAGATATCAAATTGCTAGCATTCTTTTCATTATTGTTCGAAATAAATTTCAATATTATAATTTATAGTGTACTATAAAATTTTTGTTCCACGTTCTTTTTTCACATATTTGGTTATATGATAATTTATTGTACATTGTCATGTTTAACCGTTATTTGCTTGAGTACATGTTTGACTGTTATTTGCTTGAGTATAATATGATGGTTGTATTTTTCCTCCCCTCCCCTCCCCTCCCCTCATCTCTTCTCAGAAGAAAAAGATCCTGGCTCGGCCACTGCTGGCAAGTAGCTGTGGTTTGCTCATAGAAATACTCATGCAAGGTGATAAAGATATTTGCTCTATTCATCAACAGCAAGATGGTTTTTTTTTAAAAAAAAGGTACACTACATGACCTTTCATCAATTTGTAGTAAACCCCCATGCACTTTGAAAATTGCACTAAACACCCAATAACTATTGCAAATAACTCCCAATATCTTTTGGGTAAATTACAATAAACACCAATAACTTTCAAAATGTCTTTTTAATGTTATTTTCTATTTCTAATTATGGGGGTTATCTGCAAAATGAAGAAACATATTGGTTTTTTTGCAAATTAGAAAAGTTAGCGGGGGTTTAGTGTGATTTTGAATGTTCACAGTGGTTTACAGCAAAATGTGGGAAGTTCACAGGGGTTTAGTGTAATTTACTCTTTAAAAAAATTACACATAAATTCAGCTCAAATGTTGCTACTTTTCTCAACATTCTCAATTATTCCCTCTAAAGTAATCCGGCCACGGCATACCATAAACAAAATAAGAAAGGAACGAGACATTTTTTAATTCACGGAACCGAAAACAGACCTAAGTTCAGAGAATTTGCCTTCAATATTTTAGATCAAAAGAAACAAAATTAAGATGCCAGAAATCACCAATCGCAAAGAGATAATGCTACGAGTCGATGGTCAAAGACTTCAAATCAGCCATAAATCCAAAAAAACGCTCGACTGCAATCCCAAATGTTTCCTTTCGCAATCTACCTTCTAGAATAAAAACAATAATTTGCTCCGATCACTTAAAATCCATGCAAAACTCCAAGAAGCGTTTCTGAAAATTTAGGGGAGAAGGAAAAAAAAAAAAAAAAACGCGTCACCGCGAATCAAAACTAAGCCGAAAAAAAGAAGACTAAGAACCACTGCAAAACAATGAGAAATATATTTTTCTTTAAAAGACGGCACTCTCTTCTAGATGTATACATCACCATTCTGGCGTCATTTTCAAAATTCCGCATTTCCTAAAATAAAGTAGAAATTGAATATTCAACTAAAGCTCAAAGCCAAGAATTTTTTACCCTATCATCGGAGATCTCCCTCCCTGGATTGTTCTTCATGATCCCTTTCACGATCCCCTGAATCCTAGCGCTGGTTCCGCTCCAAACAAAATCGTAGCACGGCGGCTTCGCGAAGAACTTGTCTTCGCACGGAGGGATCGGCGGCGCCTCCTTCGTCGGCGGGTCGCGGACCGGACATTCTTGAACTCCGTGTGGGTCGCCGCCTGCGCCCTGATCGCGCGATCGACGCCAAACAGCAGCAGCATGAAAATGAGAGAGGAGAAGAGCTGGACGATGGCGGATCTCTTGCTTCGCCATGTGAGGATCGCGTTCTTCTTCAAGAGGGCTTTGTATTGCTGGATCAAGAGCGGGAATCCGCTCAAAAGCTCCATTATTATTATTATTTGCTTTTTTTGGGGGGTGTTTGGAATTTGTTTGATGAGGAAAAAAAAGGAGGGAGTTTTGTTTTGTAGGAGGAAGGCGACGAGGAGGGAGGAGATTCTTATCGAGCTTCGTTGGAGTGGGAAAGTTGTTCTGATTCTTTCGGAAATTTATAATTTTATTGTTGGGTTTTATGCTTATGTACCCTCCAAATCAATCGTATTTGTAAATTGCGTCGTATCAAATCTTCAATAATGCCATATTCCCTCAATCTATCAGTCTTGCAATTTAACCCTTCAGTGACCAAAATATCCTCCCCTCTTTCTTCTCTTGCTGCAGCCTCCCCATTCACCCACCTCTGATCAAGCCCTCTCGTCGATCAAATGTTACTTACAACAGAAGCTAAGGGCAACCCTTTCTTCTCTCTATAAAAGTCTTTAGCCTTTGATCCGATCCACGAGATAGAGTGTTACTTCTATATATGTTAGGCTACACAGAACATTATGTATTTTCACTGTCTAAAATAACACTATTATTGCTTCGCAAAGCTCATGTCTCTAAGGATAGACTGCTTTCTTTCTAATCGTTTTCTCGCCAGAATTTCTTTGAACTACACTAGGATACGGAGAAATGTATCATTTCTGCCGTTTCGACGGAAGATAATGTGAATTGCAAAATCTTATGAGTAAAGAGTGTGAGGAGGAGGACACTAACGACAAGGGAGATGAGGCTGATGATGGGCTGAGTAGGGAGCTGCAATGAGAGTTAGATTTAGGGATTTAGAGGATTCATATTGAAGAAAAAGATAGGGAGTATTCCTACCCGATTGGTCATTGAGGGACCAAGTTGCAAAACTTTTAAGATTTGAGCGACTAATGAAGAATTTAAAAGATTTGAGGGACGACTATGGAATTATTAAAGCTGTTAGGGACTAATATCTAAGTAGTCATTGCACATTTACCTTCTAAATCTAACATTTTCTAATTTACACCAAAATCTCCCATACTGAGATTTTTACCCCTCAATTTTATCACGAATATACCCCTAATTAAATTAATTAATTTTATCAATTATAATTAGATATAGAGAATGTGGGAAGACGCTTTGGGATAAATTATCAAGTACTTCCTCTCGTGCATCCTCTAGCTCATTTAAATAAATAAAAAAAATAAACATAACCAGAGATATGCTAAGGCCCCGTTTGGTAAGCGGGAATGGGGTGGAATGGAATGTCATTCTTACTTCTTATTCCCTCATACCAAACAAAAATTGTTTTAGATGTTGGAATGACCATTCTCATGGAATGGTTATTCCCACTTTTTGTGGGAATGGGCATTCCAAGTGAGAAGATAGGGAATGATCATTCCTATTCAAGGGGAAAATCAATTTAGTTAGTTTTTTTAATTATACCCCTATTAATAATAAGAATTAATTTAAAAATCATGGCTTTTGACTAAGTATTCTCATTTTCTCTCAGCTACTAATTATATTCGAACAATAGAAATTTTTTGCAGGGTAGGGATTAAAAATAGTGGTACATATTTCAGTAGCATATTAAAACTAGCGGTACATATTTTATTAGTCTATTATATCACAATTGCTCAACATAGGAGCAACACAATTTAATATAAAAACAAATACAACTGAAAACTATATATTATTTGCCGATTGAAATTCTTTCATGTCAATACTTTTTTTGGTCAATCAATTTTTTTTTGTTTATCACCAATGTTTAAAGTTTGTTATTTTCACCAGCATATTATATTCTCTTAAAACTTTTGCTATTGTTTTCCCACCATAGAGAACTATATGTACCCATTGCGTACATGTTTGATTGTGGTCCATGCACAACAATAAATCTAACTTTTGATTGAAAAATATTTGACCCAATATTTATAAAAAGAGGAAACTCTCGCTGAGAAATTGGTCAAAATATTAAAATTATCAAAACCATATCATGTCTAGACTATATATAGAGGTATAAGGGCAGTATTATAACACATATCTAGATTAATATAAGAACAATTTTTCAAAATCGACCCATTTAGTTTTTTATTTTTCAAAATCGACCGTTTTTTCTTTTATTTATCAAAACCGACCGGATTTTGTGATTAGCAGATTAATCACTATCCTAAATAGTCGGGGTTGGCAACCCCGACTATTTAGGATAGTGATTAACCTGCTAATCACAAAATCCGGTCGGTTTTGATAAATAAAAGAAAAAACGGTCGATTTTGAAAAATAAAAAATCCGAATGAGTCTGTTTTGAAAAATTATTCTTAATATAACATATGCAGAAATAGTGAGAATTGTTTAAAAAATATAAATGAAACATACATCTAATTGATAACATGCGCATTAGTATAACACATACCTAGATTAATATAACACATGCATAAATAAAATTTTTAGTTATTATCATTAATGTTTATTTTTATCTTATTAAAAATCTATGTTGTTATAAGAGTATTATTAGAAAATGAGATTCTATTCTCACTTGTGAACTAGTGATACCAAACATGAGAATAAGAATTAGATTTTCATTCTAGCTTCATTCTACAAACGCACCCAAACAAGAGAATGTGAATAACCATTCCATTCTCACATACATTCCATTTCATTCCTTCTTCCATTCCATTCTCACCTGACTTCATTCTCACGTACCAAACGAGGCGTAACTGTCTTTGCAAACCAAACACAATAACATAATTTTGGCTACAAAACTTGCTGCAATAGCTCTACTTCATGTGGACCAAACAACCTTACGAGATAGGAAAATTATTTCCTGAACATAATTTTCGGATTATTTTAATTCAATTTGAAAATTGGAGTAAAATTAGCAAATATCTAGATTTAGGGCTTAATTTGTAAATATGATTGATTTGGGTGTATGTAGGTAAAAGAACCCTCATTAATGTTGAGTGGCAAATTTGCATAAAAACCTTCAGGACTTCAAAATTTCAAGATTGTTTGAAACGGATGAGGTCAGAAACCGTTTGAAGATTTTGCGGGCGTCTTTGTCATTTTAGTGCTTGTAGTATTTGCTATTTGCATTTTCTGCTTTTCACAAGTTGGAGAACTAGTTTCTCAAATTTAAGTTTCATTACATGCACATATAGATTATTTTCTTAATGAGAATTTTTCTTTGTGTGTAATGTGGGTATATTTCTTTTTCTTCTTTTCGTTTGTAGTCTTCCTTCTTTCTCATTATATATTTTGAGTGAATATTTTGAAATTTTTAGAATGAAAAAGACATGATATGTTAGTAGCTATCTATTTTTGCTCTCCAAAGGGTGCTCTCCACCACCAATTTCCATCACAAACTCTTCAAAGACACGCAACAAATAAGGCCTAAAAAGTGTGAAGAACAAATCTATTTTGTATGAAACTTCTCATATTTTTCTGTCATTTATGTTAGATAATTAGTCACTTTTGGAACTAATAAAAAAATTATTGTTCACCGTTGACACTTGACGTTCATGCATAACAAAATATATAATAAGCATATGTTTACGTTACACAGGTTCAAGCCATTATTATTTTTTTTAAAATTTGCTTATGAATGAAGCACCTTGTTTATATGTTAATTTTTATAGTTTCTGTTGGCCCAAATGAAAGTTAACATTGACTCAGAAATATTTTGCTCAATTATAACGAAGTTTAAGATTCTAACGTAACTGTTTAAGCTACTGATATCACATACTTATTAAACCCCAAGGAGTTTAGACTTTTGGTATAAACTTTCAAAGGGCTTGAAACTCTCATCAGTAAATCCCCGGTTAAGTATGAAAATTCTAGAAAACTCACAAAATGTTTTGATTTTTTTTGGCTCAAACTCCATAACCGCATAAGCCCATATTTTAAGTTTCTAAACAGGGAATATCACATAAGCATAATAAAGTGGTCAATAAAAATTAAGTGAAAAAAAATTTAAAATAAAATAAAACCTCGGAGCTAATTCGGGTCGGATCGATTAAAATGTAGACCCATCCCGAACTTGGACTTCTTTAGGACTTGCGAATTGCGATTGTCCTCATTACCCAAATTCATTTTTTTGCTTGCTTTATTTCTTTAATATTTCTCTAACGGCTACTCATCTCAAATATACATGATACCTGATTCCCGCCAAAAACCAAAGCCACTTCCCCAAAAATGGAAAATCGCCTCACCTCCCTCCTTCAATCCCCTCTCTCCGCAGCCCAACTCAAGCGAATCCAACCTCTCATCATCACAGCATATCCAAATCTCGCTCCTCTCTTCTTCAATATTCTCTCTCATCCCTCAAACATTGATTATGCCCGCTACTTGTTCGATAGAATTCCCCAACCAGATTCTTTCTTTGCAAACTCCATCATTTCCACCCTCTCGAAGCTCGATCGCCATGAAAAAGCCTTGGAAACATTTTTTCTCGCCCGTCAGAAGAATACCCGGAT